AATCCATGGCTAAGAAACATTTGCACGGCACATTAACTCCACTCACACTGCACCTGTAAGTTGAGTTAGGCAGAGTTAGGTATTGCCAAGATGGCGATGTCTGATCTTTGCATAGATAACACTAATCATGCAGGTTTTGAAGCTGTCAGTTGAAAAAACTGCAACGATGCTTGCACCCAACGAGCTGAAAACATATTTTCCAATTTACGATGTCTGGAACAACACTGGCTACATTTTTTATGAGCGTTACAAACACTGCGAAATGATCCATTCTGTCCAGCAACACTTGGTGAGTGTTGAAAAGCTGTATGATTGTTCAGTTTAATACAATTTATGTGCATGGAAAATCAAAAGGAAGTCTGCCAACTTGAATGATATCGGTTATACATGCCGATAGAGAAGGATGCTAATGTGCCTGCTCTAGGGCCAAAATTGCTTAAGTGTGCAGAACATCGAGTTGTCTAATGGAGGAAGTTTGAATTTTAGTTCTCCATAGGGCCCAGTGGGAATCAGTGCAAACACCACTTTATAAGCACCTTCTAAATGCAACACACACTTAAGAGCACAATGGAATGAAAGGTCGTGTCATGTATAATACACTGCGGCACACAATCAATGTTATGTACGCCGACTTTTTCAAAAAGAAGGAGAAAAAAATGTATCAACATTGGCAGGCTACAGGTCTATGATGTGCCCCGGGAAAGTAGCACACAAGGTGGGTTGACAGTGTGTCTCCTAGCAACCCCGGGCTTCAAATATCAGTCAGCTGTTGTCGTGGGAAACGTCCACCCAGAGGTCAGAGGTATGTTTCCACAAAGATGTCCAATGAAAAGGTTTTTATCCTCATTTTTAAAAAAAAGAAGAACAAAATATGCACAATAGCGGCGGTGTTGTGCTGGCTTATACGTCCCTGCAGAAAAAGTTATGAGATACAATTAGATCAAATGATTGTATCAAGACTTTTCAATAAGATTTTCACATCTAAATTCCAAATTGCTCTCACCTCAGTATTCGAGACGCTCTGACTTGCAATGAGTGGAAATGGGTTAAATTTCAGCAATTAGAATTTCATTGCCGATTTTGCAAGTCATAAAATACTTCTGATAGGAAAAAAAAAGTAATACTTTCCCCACAAACTGTGAATCAAAGGATAAGCTGTTCTGATGAAGTAGCTCAAACTGTCCCACTTGTTCTGCTGATGCTGTTAAAGCTTCTTTTATCATCAGCAAAATGACACACACAGATTCCATCTTTCATTTCCTCCCATCTCCATCCCTCCGCCCCCCCACCCCCCCTCCAACCCCACTCCGGTCTCCTTTTACTGTTTCTTACAGTATGCCGCATTGTCTCACTAACGGCGGTAATTATTCAGAATCAATCTTTGCCGCTTCTTTTTTCTCCCTTCACTTTATTTTGATTTACAGCAGGAGTTTTTGTAATGTTGCCAGCGGAGCAGTTCAGTGAGAAGAACAGGCTGACCTGCAGCACAATGTAATATCGAGAGATGAATGGGAGATAATGATGGTGTTTTGCTTGAATGCCATTCACCAATATTTTCTAATAATGAGCTTCGTGAAATTTCTAAATGATGAATGATGACAAAAAAAATATTGAGATGGAGAATGAAGTAAGAGTTCAAAAGGCAGCTGAGGATTATTATTATTATTATTGTTATAGCTCATAATTTTGGGGCCTTGTTGTAGCAAAATTATGTTAATTGTGATGAACTGACAGAGATAAAAGATGCCTTCTCGGAATAAAAGCAAAGTGAGGGCTTGATCACGGTGTTATACAACACTTGTTAACACGAACGACTAATGACGAGGGAATCAAAAGCAGCAACGGGGGAAGTTTTTAACTTTTTTTTTTTTTTTATTCCAAAATGAAACCAAGAGAGGTATGCCTCTGGTATCTGGAAAAATGAGCTGCCAATTTTATGATGATAGCAGTGAAAGTTTGAGGCTGTTTGTATATTTATAGGTTTGTTTTTGTAAACTCAGATCGGTCAGAGCTTTTCAGACATTACATGTTTGGCTCTGAACATGTCTCGCTAAACATTGGCAGCTGTAGGCGACTCCATGAATAATGTAAAAAGGCCACATGTTTTTCTTTTACAGTGACAGTCAAGGACACAGTTGCTTTAGAACGAACGCAGACCTCCTCACCTTTTGCTTTATAGTGTGGTAAATTGAATTCTAAAATGAATAAGACAGACCTTTTCTAAACTTAATCCATATTTATAAAGTTACAAATATGTTGGGTTTTTTAAAAAATATAGTTTTGCAAATTTCTTACAAGTCAAAAACTAAAATCTCTCCTTTGCCAAAGTATTCAGACCCTTTGGTGCGGCGCTCCAAGCTGTGGTCAGATGCATCCTGTTTGCTTTAATAATCCATGAGATGTGTCTAAAACCTGACGGTGGGTGTCTACCTATGGAAAACTGAACTGGAGGAACCAGCTCAGCAGCAGTCCATCAATCAGGCCTTTATGGGAGAACAGTTAGATGGATGACACTAACAAAGACTCATGACAGATCAGTCGCTGTTTGTCAAACTGCATTTAAAGGACTGTGAGAACACGCAGCAAAAGATTCTCCAATGCAATCAGTCAAAAACGGAACTATTTGGGCAGAACTCCCAGGAGCCTTATTATCCAATCAATACCAGCCTTTGAAGTGTAGCACGGTGGTGGCAGCATCATGCTTTGGGGGTGCTTGTCAGTGGCAAGGACAGGGAGAAAGGTCAAAGGAGGATAAACCAAATACAAGTCTTTAAAGGAAATCTGACTCAGAGTTTCGGGACGTGGGACTGGGGCAACAGTTCACCTTTCAGCGCCGCAGTGAGTCAAAGTATACAGCCAAGACAACACTGGAGTTGCTTTGGGACAAACCTCTGACTTGTCCTTGCGTGGCCCAGTCAAGGCACAGACCCAAATCCCATGTAACATCACTGGAGAGACTTGAAGATGGCAGTTCACAGACACATTCCCATCCAATCTGACAAGGCTGGACAGGATCTCTCAGGAAGAATGGGACAAACTGCTCATATCCAGGTTTGTAAAGCTTGTAAAGATTTACCCAAGAAGACTTAACTGCTGCCAAGTTGACTCGCACAAAGTACTGAAATAATGGTTGACATGAGAGATTACAGTTTTTTTTTAATATTTTAGAAATTTCTCAAAAATATTTTTATGTGGTTGATTGAAGGGCAAAAGAAAATAAACCTACAAAATAACCAACAATAAAATGTGAGAAAAGCGAAGAGGTCTGAATACCTCCTGAAGTCATGCTAACAACATCCTTTGAAACAAGATAATTGAATAACAAGACTTAAATCTAGTTTCTTTATTATCACATCATTACTGCAGAGCGCAGGTCAATTATAATGATTACTATAAACTGGCTTAAAGGATTAACTAATCTATAACTTATTAGTGTGTGTTCGCCACAAGCTGCTCTGTCATTGGGTCACTGACAGGTCTTCAGCTGAAACTGACCCAAACAAAAAAACGTCCATAAAATCTAGAACAATCTGAAAAGAAATCCATTATACAATTGCTTTTTTTTTTTTTTAACCACTTGCTACTTTACTTTTTGCCTTTTTTTTTGTTTTTAATTTGTTGCTGCACAGTGCTTTGTTGCTGCTCTTTATTCCTCCAAAAAAAATTTACATAATTGCTTTTTGGCTTACTTGGAAATAATCCCTAATCATATGCGAGCATATGTTTTGTAAATAGACATGACTTGATTTTATAGGGTCACAAGCCAAAAAATGTTTACCACTGCTGCATATCTGAGCAGAAAGAAACAGTTTTATAATATTGATTCATCTTGTGGTTATTTTCTTAATTAATTCCTTCATTGCTTAGTTTATAAAATGTCAGACAGTCATCTGCTTTACTGACCTCCCTCCTAAAACCTAAATATATTCAGTTTAGAACTCCATAAAACACAGAAAGGAGGAAAAAGTTTATATTTAAGAGCTTGCACATGAAATCCTTTTGGCTAGAAAAAGTCCACAGATGATAAATTGATTATCAAAACGTTTGCATATCTTTTGTTTTTCTGGCAGCTAACCAATTGATAAATGGACTCAAATCGCTGCCGCTCTACCGTATGTCATAAAGAAAAATCCCATAATAACAGTGACGGTGGGCCGGCGGGGGGTAAATATGGTAAATATGTTTTATTCTTTGCAATATCATACATCTGCGGCTCTAAATAAGCTTTAGATGAGAGGTTTCACATTTTTATTATGACAAACTGTCATTTTGTGTGACAGCTCATGAATAGGCTGCAGAAGCTGCTTGTGCTTATGGAGGAGGGTTGACCCATTTATTTGCAACATCATTAACTAACAATAGCATAATGGCCATTCTTTGTGTGGAAACACCATCCATTCTCAAAGTGCACTTGAGCCCGGGCGTATCATTTAGTGCATGTTTGTGTAATGACAGAACGCTGATTGTGAGAGGTCACTGTTTGCATTGCTGCACTGAATACAGTCTGAGCTGGTGAGCAAACACACCTGTTTTCAGATTTCAAAGGTGTGGAGAAAAGTTAATGAAGCGGTAGATTAGATTACAATCCTTAAACTAATATGTAAAGGTGAGGAATGTAAATTTAAGATCACTTACAAACTGATTCACCTTCAATCCTGAGTCCATAGGTATGTGCTTTTTTTTTTTTTCCTGAAAGAGATCTAACCATGAATGATTCTTCAAAATAATAATGAATGGGCTGCTGAAATAAAGCTCCCACAAAGCCATGAATGAACACGCAGTGGGTAAATGAACAAGAAGTAGGACGCTCTCGGAGCTGCTTTTCCGCACGTCGGCCACCGAGCGACAGTGTTTCTCCCCCCAATAAATAAAGCCGCTCCTCTCCGGACTGTTTGGTCACATGCTGGGAAGGTCTGAAGTGGCGGCTTCATGTCACACATGCGTACCGACAAAGTGAATGGCACACGGGCGCAGAAGTGACACCGAGGCGACCAGAGAGCGGGGGGAGGCTGCTAGCACCACCAGAGCGGATCCACGGCAGCCGGGTGAAGCCCACGCTCCGCGGGGGGGAGGAAGGAGAAGAAGAAGAAGAAGAGGAAAGAGAAGAAGAAGGAGGAGAAGCGCGCGCGTGGGAGAGGATGGAGCTGAAACCCACGGGAGGTTAATATAGTATCCCACCGCCGAAAACCAGGGGCTTGTAAAGAAACGGGGTCCGACTCGACGGGGGGCGGCAGGTTGAATTCGGCACAGTTGGAGGAAAAAAAAGTTCCGCGGCTTGTATACAATGGTGATAAATGGGTCTCACCTGAACAGCTCCTCGCCAGACCCCAGTGACGCCGTGCTGAGCCGCCCGCCGTGGGTCACCACAACTTTGGGCTGCTTCCTCATCTTCACCATCGTCGTGGACATCCTGGGCAACCTGCTGGTCATCTTCTCCGTGTATCGGAACAAGAAGCTCAGGAACGCAGGTGAGTTCTGGGAAAAAACAAACAAACAAGAAGTATAGGGGCGCGTGGCTCCGGAGTGGCGCGCGCGTGATTACTCAGCCGCTTTAAAAAAAAAAAAAAAGAAAAAAGAAATAAAAACTTTAACAAAGAGGTTTAAAACGCACTTTTACTACACATAACAGCTTTCTTACTTTTACATTTTATTTCGTCATTTTTTAAAAATTTATTTATTTTCAACATTCTAGAAGGTAACCTGCGCTCGCGACACTCAAGCAACCCCACGCGCCACAGCATTAACACACATTTTGTCTTCATAAATCACTACACAGGAGCAGTGTTTCCCCCCTTCCTCCGACTTGTGAGTGTAATGGACAGTTAAACTCAGCTTATAGCCCACTTTTGAAGCGGATATAATTTCACTGACCCGCACCAGGAGAGCTAAGCAGGCTCAAAGCACGAGAAACACTATAGCAATTATTGACACAGTCTGAAGCCACGGGGAAAGCCCAGCGATCATCCCGGCGCTAATGCTTCCCAGGCTTTTCTTTTTTTTTTTTCCAACCATCGATGTTATTCCAGCCGGGCGATTTAACTTAATAATAATAATGACAACAAAGTGTTAAAATTGTTACCAGGAACTTTAGCCGTGCGCATGTACGCGTGTGGCCGTCAATGTAATTATGATATGGCTTTGTGGATTAAATTGCGCGCCCCCGAGTTTGGACAGGATTTGACGGAGCGCTGTTTGCCTTGCTCAGCGGAGGTGGTAAAACGCTCATAATTTAATAGTCACAGGACAGAGCGCTGCTGAGAAAACCCAAGAGGCTCCTGTCGAGCTCAGGTCTGCTCACACTAACTGGCAGCTACACATATCACGCTTGTCATCATTTGGAGGAGGCTGATTTTCTAAATACACTCCTGACATTACCGTTTGGCTTGGTGCAGAAATGTTAGGGTCAGAACAGATTTCCATCACAGAGCACAGAGCTCCTGGGAGAAATATTAAATGTTACCTAACGAGGACGTTGCTCTTTGATAATCAGCAACACATGAAAGTCTGCAGCAGTTGTCCTGGCTTTGTCTGTCCAAGTGATTTCTTTTATTGTGTGTGTGTAACTCATGGTATTGCATCCTAATTTGTGGAACAAAGTAACAAGACAAGAGGAGAGATAAATTTAGGAAACTGCATCTTTGAAGTTGTTCCATTAATTACAGCTAATTACATGTAAGGAGGTCATATTGCAGCAGCAAGAATTTAATCAAGCATGCGGTTAACTTATATTGTATCCACTTTAATGTTGTGTATGATTGAGCATACCAGCTGCAATTACCATTTATTTAATCAGCACATTGGACAATACTGTTATCTGTTTCGATTCCCATTAAACATCCCCAAGAAAAGTCTTAGAGGATCAAAAGAAAACCGGGGTTAAAAAAAAAAAAAAACTCTGCTTAATTGTGTTTTGCAAAACTCTCCATGAATGTTAACAAGGTCTGCGTTGGCTGGTGACGTGGTTCCTCAAGTTCATGCCTTTGAAGCGCATTTGCTACTTTTCATTCAAGTTCTGAGGATGTGCATGCCTAACTTAAGGCTCTGACAATTTTCTGCTCAAAAAGCCATTGGCAAATTGCGTGCGAATTGGCAGACATATTGATTGACATAAAAACTTTTCCATTCATACTTTAATCACCGTTTGTTTTGCCGGACCCCATCTTTGGGAATTTGATGCCACGGATGATTGTTTGACTGCATATTTCACTCAGACCGAGCACCCACCGAAAATCTCAGGAGTGGATTTTAACAGCCGCATTTTCCATCCACAAGGAATTCAATTTTCTTTTGTTGAATAGATGAAATCTCCTCCATGGAAAAACAAGTGGGCATAAATTTTCTTGGCATGAACTAAATGTTGTTAGAAACTGCACAGCAGTCCAACAACAAGGGGATAAATTAAATAACAAGTAATGAAATATACTCAGTGGAGAACCTGGCAGGCGATGCGGCCGCATATTGCAGGCAGCAGCAGCACTGCTGTCTCTCTCTCCATAGCCAAACCCTCTGTCAGCGCATGAAATGGCCAGAGAGCCAGAGAGCGAGTGAGCGTGAAGCCAACGACACATGGTGAGCGGTCTGAGCTGCATGGCTGGAAACTGAATCAGTGCTGTGAGCTCAGCACAATGCCAATAAATCATCTTAAACGTACCTGTTCTGATGTATATGGGGAATTTTTTAAACACATGCTGAGCAGAAAATAAATCATGCCAGTGAGGAATTGTCTCAACTGATCGCTTTGGCTAGGTGTCTGGCGAGGATGGGACGTTACCTCATGGGCTGTAATGTGAGATGGTTGTGTGTAGCTTTAATTTTTTCTGACAGCTAGGAATGCACAACCATATTAACGAGCCGTCTGTATCAGCCGATGAAGACTTTAAAGTGAAGTATCGGCATCATTCCAAAGTGAACAGATGATGCTTGTCAGGCTCATAGTTTACTGTTTTGTTTGAAAATGTTACATAGAATAAACAAGGCGTTCACATTTACGTTACGTAGTTCTCTCATTTGCTCAGTGAACGTCTTGCATTGCAAAAGCATAGTATTTTAAGTCTGCACCTGCTAGTGGGTCGTCATAGGAAGAGTTGGCATAACAATATGTTATTTCCACTACAGAAGAGACTTGATGTTGTCTGCAATTAGGTGGAAAAAATATGTGCAGACGTTGGCATCGGCCAAAATGAGTTGGAAAATATCAACATATTGGATACCAGCAAACATCCAGTATCATGCCTCCTTAACTACCAAAGAGAAAAACAAAATGTGTGATTGCTTACATGCCACCATGCAGAGCTTTTTTTTCTAGTGGCACAAGACTCTAAGCTTCTTCTGAGCTGTTTATGTCTTGCATTCCAACGTGGTATCACGGGATCCATACAAATAGTATGCCACTTGAAGAATATTTCAAGTGTTATCTCTGTGCATTTTAAGCTTCATTCAACACCACTGAATACCTACGTGATTATTCCTGGGGAGCACTAAGGTTCTGGTTTGGGTGCTGCTCATCCCTAAGTCAGTAGACTCAGTGGTATGGTCTGAGATGCTACAAATGTGTAGTGATGACAATTCAAGTGGCACTTATTTGTAGGCCACTTTGTGATACCAGACAATAAACAGATTTGATATACGGTGAAAAAAAGGTTAACATTTGAATTTTGAAGCATTGCAGCAACGTGAAAAAAACAGAGCAATCCTTCAACAGTGACCCTGGGAGGTTGGTTGTCAGCAGTCTTCGCTAAAAAAAATGCCATCAGGCCTTTTTCACACGCCTGTTGTTTTTTTTTACACATGTTTGCACATGTGTCGGCGGCTCGAGTCAGTGATTGAAAATAAAAGGCAGGTGTCAGGGTTTTTGCGACGAGTCTGTAAAGAATCTGAAAGGTCTGATTTTCGTCGCACTGTTTTGTTTTCTTCGTGCCGATCTGAAGGCAGAAAACTTATCAAGTTCAGCAGCACAGGAAAGTTGAAACAGTCAGTGACTTACCTACTGTACCATTCACAATCTGAAGTGACAGATAAAAACAAGCCTTAGTGTACTGATACCTTGGTGTGCTGAGTTCTGCTGCTGCAAAATAAACCGAGGAGCTCCACATTGGAGCGGGGCTGTCTGTTTTGGAGTGCGACGTAGTGTTTATCCTTTTTCAGCGTTGCGTGACTTGGCACTGTGCCGGCAGAATGTTATTTCTGATCGTTCATTACACCTCTAGATTCTGTTAGAGTATTATTGGTCTCAGTGTAATGAATATTTTGAGGAATTAATGCAGAATTAAGTGGTATTTGCATGTGTCTCTAATTAAAATGAATGTTTTAGGTTTCTAAATATCCATTGGCTTTGTTGAGAGATTCTAAACGGAAATTGGCTCAGCACTGTGGAGCTTAATAAAGAGATGACTGTGAAAAGAAAACAAATCCCCCTCTGTAGATGGTATACAGTAGATGTTGATTTCGCAGCTTCCTGTTTTATTTTCATCATGAGGGATGCTATTTGTTGAAAGACTTGTTCTGTGAGAAACTGTAATGCTTTAGATCAAGCTTTATCAGGGCCTCAGGCATCTTTGTCAAGTTTGCGGGTTGAAACTATGATTAAACTAAAGAACATTAAGTTTTATGGGGTAAAATTAGTAATGCAAGAACAGCGATGAAGCAAAGAATGTGCTTATGTGTCTTACAGACAAATCCAGATTTCTATTTAATTATGGCAGTCGGTCAAAGGATTCTTTCCTGAGCTGAAACTGGGTGGCAAGCTCCTTTTTCGAAACTGTGCTTTCATGTTTCACTTGCATCTGAAATAGAAATCTAACTTATCCTTGTCTTTTTAAAAAGTTCAGGCATTCTCAGTATGATTTTCCAACAACTTAATTTTCTCAACTCATGCTGTGCGTAGGAACCATCTGCACCACTTCTCGCTTGAATGGCTGTGTTTACTACTTGATGTACTTTGTAAAACTATGTATTCCCTGCATGGTCAAACACCAGCACAGCTGAAGCCTCGACGTGGAGTTTAGTATCACTGAGAAGACTTGTTTGAAAAGGTGGCAGCCTTTGTAAAGCCACACTGCATAACGTATCCTCTGCCAGCGGTATCGATACCGGGTGGCTGTATCATGTGTTCCCACCTCTGATGACAAGGCCGCCTCTTTGCGAAAGCCTGCTGAGCCCCCTTTGGCTCACATAGCTACAGTTTCACCCACAGTGACTGAGGGACACAGAGCTGTGGATGCATATGACTGCTGCTTGGAAGTTGTGCTGTTCTTATGTCGTTAGGTCTAAAAATAATTTCGCCGTCACAGTTCATTTGTTGCATGATCAAAGCCCTTGTTTCACAAACTGTAGCTTCAAGAAGGTGCAGTTTTGTATCAAGCAAAGGATAATGAACTCCATATTATGATGGTGAATCACAGTTTTTAATTCAAGTCCCCTTCCATTAAAAGATTGCTTTGATTATTTTTTACTTCACTTTGATGTTTGA